GGGGCTGCAGGGCTCGCGGGGTGGAGGCCGGATGGCGGGGGTGGGGGGGTGTCTCGGAGCCCAGGGCTGGGCGGGAGGGGGCGGGCCGCGAGGAGCTGGTGCTGAAAGGGACAGCACCCCTCCCGCCGCGGCTCCCGGGTTCCCCAGCACCGCATGTGCCACTGCGGGGCCCGGGTGTGCGTGTGGGGCGCGGGGCGCGCGAGGGGATGCGGGTGGGAAGAGGCCCAGGACAGAAGGTGGCCGGGGTGTGCACCTGCCCTTCCCATGTCTTCCTTAGAGTGCCTGGAAAATGGAAGGGGGGAAAAAAAACTTGGGGAGGGGGAGGAGAGGGCTTGTGAGGGAGGAAGTCGGGGTGGCAGGACCCCCTGGACCCATGGTGAAGGGGGTCTGGAAACAATTTTGGAGGTGACTTGTGGTATTTTGGTATTGGACTCCTTGTGGTATTTGGAAAGCCTGGTATACCTGAGGGTGAGGAAGAAAAGTTGGGGGCGGGAGAGGGGGAAGGTGGTCTATGGAGTTGAGGAGAGTTCCAGAAGAACTCAGAAGAGGGGCTGACTGTGGGGGTGTGGGTCCCTTTGCCAGGACTGGGTGTTCCTGACGAGATTTTGTTTCCTCTCGGATTATGGCCGGTTGGACTTTCGCTTCCGCTATCCGGAGGTGAGTCTCTCCCCAAACCCCCAACCACTGACCAAGTTGTGGATGTAAACTCCCTGAGCTTATCCCAGCCCAAGGCAAGGGCTCCCCAGATCCTTGCATCCCCCCCACACCCTTCTGGATCTGCAGGCCAAGTGCTGTCAGAACATCCTCCTTTATTTTGATGACCCATCCCAGTGGCCAGCTGTGTACAAGGCGAAGGACAAGGTGAGGGACACAAGCAAGGGGGAGGGGGAGGGGCAGAAGATGGTGGCTGGTCAGAGACTGACCCTGGCCCTACCTTCTCCAGGACTGCATAGCCAAGGAGTCCGTGATCAGACCTGAGAACAACCAGGTCATCAACCTCACCACCCAGTATGCCTGGTCAGGCTGTCAGGTGTGGACGCCACGGGGTACGGTGAGGTGGAGTGGGTCCCAGGGGACATTGAGGACACACTTCAGCTTCCTGGCACCTCCCCAGGTGGTGTCAGAGGAGGGAACCCGCTACCTGAGCTGCTCCAGCGGCCGCAGCTTCCGCTCCGTGCGTGAAAGGTGGTGGTACATCGCACTCAGCAAGTGCGGGGTAAGGAACCAGGGCCGCCACCTGGGCCTTCTCTTTGCCATCCTGCTGACTCCCTACCTGCACAGGCTCCTCCTACAGCCTCCCCACTGCCCACAGGGAGATGGGCTGCAGCTGGAGTATGAGATGGTCCTCACTAACGGGAAGTCCTTCTGGACCAGGCACTTCTCAGCAGATGAATTTGGTGAGCCCATACCTGGGAAAAGGGAACTAGGATCTTTCTCTCTCTCTTCCCCCCCCTCTCTCTGCCCCTCTCTCTCTTTCTCTCCTTTTCCTTCTTTCTTTTTTGTCAGTCATGGGGCTTGAACTCAAGGCCTGGCGCTGTTCCTGAGCTTTTTTGCTCAAGGCTAGCACTCCTCCATTTCAAGCCATAGCTCCACTTCTGGTTTTTTGGTGGTTCATTGGAGATAAGAGTCTCACAGATTTTTCTGCCCAGGCTGGCTTTGAACCACAATCCTTAGATCTTAGCCTCCTTAGTTAGTATTCCAGGCATGAGACATCAGCCTCAGCTCTTTCTTCCTTCTTTCCTCCTTTTCTTTCTTCTTGCTTAATTTCTTTTTCTTTCTTTTTTTTTTGGTCTGGTCATGGGGGCTGAACTCTGGGCCTGGGCGCTGTCCCTCAGCTCTTCAGCTCAAGGCTAGTGCTCTACCACTTGAGCCACAGCACCACTTCTGGATTTTTTCTTTTTGCTTATGTGGTGCTGAGGAATCGAACCCAGGGCCTCAGGCATGCAAGACAAGCGCTCTACCATTGAGCCACCTTCCCAGCCCCGATTACAGCATTTTTTTTTTTGTCGGGTGTGGGGCTTGAACTCTGGGCTTGGGCGCTGTCCCTGCACTCTTCAGCTTAAGGCGAGCGCTCTACCGCTTGAACCACAGCGCCACTTCCAGTTTTTGAGTAGTGTATTGGAGATTAGAGTCTCATGGACTTTTCTGCCCGGGCTGGCTCTGAACCATGATCCTCAGATCTCAGCCTCCTGAGTAGTTAGGATTACAGGCGTGAGCCACTGGCACCTGGCATTACAGCATTTTTGATGGTTAATTGGTGATGAGTCTCATGAACCTTCTTGCTGGGCTGGCTTTGAGCCTTAATCTTCAGATCTCTGTGTCTTGAGTAGATAGGATGACAGACATGAGCTTCCAATAACTGGCAGAAACCAGAATCTCTATGGGAGCACACAGCAGGTGCCTGCCCAGGAACCAAAGGACTCAAAGGATTTTTCCTTCTTCTACCAAATCCTAGGGATTCTGGAGACAGATGTGACCTTCCTTCTCATCTTCATCCTCATCTTCTTCCTTTCCTGTTACTTTGGATGTGAGTTGGGTACCTGTGGTAAGGGGTGGGGCAGGATGGGTAGGAGATCTGGGGAAGCAGGGTAGGCGGTCCTCCTGTCTGTTTGTGAACAGCCTTTTCCTGGGTTTGAACAGCCTTTCCCTTCCTAGATTTGCTGAAAGGCCGACAGTTGCTTCATACCACCTATAAAATGTTCATGGCTGCAGCAGGACTGGAGGGTGAGGTTTGAAGTAACGTAGTTCTTGAGTCCTGAGGGAAGTGCAGCTGGGGCTGGGACCACTGAGTCAGAAAGAGGAAGACTGGGGACTAGAGCTTTGCATCTGAGGGAGGAGGGCTGGAGTTGGATCCCTGGGTCTGAAGGAAGAGGGCTGGGGTGTGGCTCTCTGTGTCTAAGGGAGGAGGGCTGGGATCTGGAGCCCTGGGTCTGAGGGAGGAGGCTGGGGCTTGGATCCCAGGGCCTAAGGGAGGAGGTCTGGGATTTGGAGCCCTTGGGTCTCAGAAAGGAAGGGGCTGGCAACAAAGGACTTGAGTCTGTCAAGTCTGTGGGAATAGAGGTGTGGAGCCTGATGGGGGTGATCGAGGATCCAGATTATCTAGATCATAGTGCTAGAGGCCAGCGTTGTCGCCAAGCTGGTTTCCGTCCTTTCCTCTCTGCCTCCCCTCCAGTCCTTAGCCTCCTGTTTTTCTGCATCTACTGGGGCCAGTATGCCACCGATGGCATTGGCAACGAAAGTGTGAAGATCTTGGGTGAGAATGGAGTGGGCACCTGGGGCAGGGTGGGCAGAGCCCTTGGCCCATGTCTGGTGTCTTCTCTGAGCCTGTTATTGAACCACCGTCTCTTCCCTTCCCAGCCAAGCTACTCTTCTCCTCCAGCTTCCTCATCTTCCTGCTCATGCTCATCCTTCTGGGGAAGGGATTCACGGTGACACGGTGCCCGGGCAGAGGGGTGGTGCTTGTGGGGTGGCTGGGCTAGAGATCAGGGCAGGGGGAAGGGGGTGAGCGTGTGTGTTGGGGGGGAATTGTGTGGTTGCTCCCTCCTCCCTGACAGCCCCCACCCTGCTGTCTCCCCTCATGGCCTGCCGCCAGGGGCCGCATCAGCCACTCGGGCTCAGTGAAGCTCTCCGTGTACATGACCCTATATACCCTCACCCATGTGGTGCTGCTCATCTACGAGGCAGAAGTGAGTCCCCATACCCCTGTCTGCCCCCTCCCCTGCCTGCTGCCCTCCCCACCAGCATCTCCCTCCCTCCCACTCCGCTTGAGCTTCCACCTTCCCATCTGTCTCTCAGCAATTCCTCCTCTCTTAGCCATCTCTGAGTCGCTTTCCTCCTCCTCCTCCTCCGTCTCTCACTGTCTGCCACACTTCAACTTCCATGTCAGAGTTCAGGAGTCACATGTGGTTCTGCTCCCTAGTTGGCTGTCATAGGGTGATGACACCCCTTCCTCTCTTAGGATCTGTCTCCTCCTTTGAAAAACCCAGAGGCTCTTACCTCCCCGCTTCTCCCATGTTGGTCCTTGGGCTTGAACTCAGGGCCTGGGGACTGTCCCTGAGCTTCTGTGCTCAAGGCTGGTGCTCTACCACTTAAACCACAACTCCACTTTGGGCTTTTGGGTGGTTAATAGAGTCTCATGGGGTTTTCTGTCCGGGGTTGGCTTTGAACCATAATCCTCAGATCTCAGCCTTCTGAGTAGCTAGGATGACAGGTGTCAGTCACTGGCACTTCCTCTGAAGCTTTATAATACCTTTAGCTAAATGGCTGCCTTCTTAGCTTCAATAAACTCCTTTGTGGGAGGGGGTGACAGGAAGGCCTCTCTTGTTGAACTGATAGTAATGGAAAAACTCACATACAGTAGGGGTTCAGCCCCCCCCCTCCCCTCGCCACTGGGTACACTGTAGCTGGTGTGGGCTCTTCCTCTGGTTCCTCTTCTTTCTCTACCTCTGTGTCTTTACCTCCATCATTGAACCCTGCTGCTTCTGTCCTGACTCAGTTTCTCTCCTCCCTGGGTGCCCAGGGCTGGGGTTGGGGCAGGAGGCTGGGGTTATGATGAATTCTCTTCCCGTGGGTCCAGTTCTTCGATCCAGGCCAGGTACTGTACACGTACGAGTCTCCAGCTGGCTATGGGCTCATCGGGCTGCAGGTGGCAGCGTATGTGTGGTTCTGTTACGCTGTGCTGGTCTCACTACGCCATTTCCCAGAGAAACAACCCTTTTATGTGCCCTTCTTCGCTGCCTACACCCTCTGGTGAGACATAGTGGGGCTTCAATCCATTTCTGCCTCCCAAGTCAGACCCCTAGTATGGAAGATGTGTGTGTGTGTGTGCGTGTGTGTGTGTTCGTGTGTTTGTATTGGGCTTGAACTCATGACCTGGAAGTTGTCCCTTAGCTTTTTTGCTCAAGACTGAGGCTCTGCCATTTGAACTATAGCTCTTCTTCCAGCTTTGTTTGATGATTACTTAGGGGTAAGAGTCTGAATGGACTTTCCTGCCCTGGGCTGGCTTCAACTTTCTTAGCCTCCTGAGTAGTTAGGATTACAGGTGTGAACCATAGGCTGAGTTTATGTGTGTAAAATGCTTAGAAAGAAGATCAAGCTGGCCACTGGTGGCTCACGCCTGTAATCCTAGTTACTCAGGAGGCTGAGATCTGTGGATCACGGTTCAAAGCCAGACTGGGCAGGATACTCTGTGAGACTCTTATCTCTAATAAACGACTAGAAAACCAGAAGTGGTGCTGTCTCGAGCGCTTGCTTTGAGTTGAAGAGTGCAGGGACAGAGCCCAGGCCGAGTTCAAGCCCCATAACTGAGAAAAAAAAAAAAAAAAGATTAGTGTCAGGTGCCAATGGCTCATGCCTACAATCCTAACTACTCAGGAGGCTGAGATCCAAGGATCATGGTTTGAAGCCAGCCAGGACAGAAAAGTCCCCTTGAGACTCTTATCTCCAATTAACCACTCAAAAACCAGAAGTGGAGCTGTGGCTCAAAGTGGTAGGGCACTAGCCTTGAGCAAAAGAGTTCAGGACAGAGACCTTAGTTCAAGCCCCACGACCAACCCCCACTCCCACCCTCCAAAAAAAGACTGGCATGCAATAAATCCTTATTTTTTTTTCTTATTTGCTATTAGCACTTGTTAATTCAGTCAGATCATTTATTTATTTAGTGCCAGTCTTGGAGCTTGAACTCAGAGCCTGGGCACTGCCCCAGAGCTTTTTTTTTTCTCAAGGCTAATGTTCTACTCATGAGTCACAGCTCACTTCTGGCTTTTTTTTTTTTGGTAATTAACTGGAGATGAGTCTCAATGGGTTTTCCTGCCTGCACTGGCTTCAAACTGTGATCCTCAGATCTCAGCCTCCTGAGTAGTTAGTGAGGATTACAGGAATGAGCCACTGGTACCCAACTTTTTACAGGTCATTTATTGATTACCTCCCAGATGCTTAGTCCTTGCCCCCTAGAATTTCCCAGGCCAGTGGCATTCCTGTTCCCTTCAAACTCTGCCTTCCAAAGGTCACACTGGCTGCCCACCAGGTCCCAACCTGGCAGCCAGTGTGTGCAGAACAGGGGAGGTGGGGCCATGAGATGGGGGAGGAGAGCAGGCGCAGTCTCAGTCCACCCAATATATTTCTTCTGCAGGTTCTTTGCAGTTCCTGTCATGGCCCTGATAGCCAATTTTGGGATCCCCAAGTGGGCTCGGGAGAAGATTGTTAATGGCATCCAGCTGGGAATCCACTTGTATGCCCACGGCGTGTTTCTGGTAAGGATGAACATCCATCCAGGTGGGGGTGGTGAACTGAAGTGTGGAGGATTCATGATGCCCCATCCTTCATCTCCTTGAACATCAGCTGTAGACCCAGCTGCCTTTTCACCATTGAAATTCTAGCCTGCCAGGACTCTGTCCCTGGAGCCCACAAAGGGAATGGCTGCCCCCCCACCCCTAAAAAGGGGCTAGGTCTTCCATCTTGTATGTCACAGCCTGACTTAGGTGCAGACTCACCGGTCTCTGGCCAGTCCATCTGCAGGAAGTCAGAAAGGGACAGAAAGAGGTGAAATGCTGAGACCCTGCCATATGCCAGGCTCTGCACCAGCGGTTTTCACTTCTACCCTCTCATCTTTCCAGATAGGCATGACAATCCTTTTTGGATTGTTGTAGCAACGTGCCCCAGACCTCACACTTTGTGATGGAGTGAAGAGGTGCTATGCCAGCCTAGAGTGCCACATGCAGTGCCCTTGCTATTATTTTATCTTCAGCAAGCTTCCTTCCTAAAAAATGCCCATCCTCGCTCAGCACAGCTGCCCTTCTGGAATCCAAGTCTCATGGTGTTCAGTTCCTGTTTATTCATTCAGCACCATCTTGGAGCTGGCGGTGCTGGGCTTGGAGGGCACAGTCACTGGGCCCTTATAACCTACCAGAGCTATCTCCCCCGTTCAGCCATTGACTGGGGGCTTGGATGTTCTAGAAAGCACTAGGGATTTACCAGGGACCAGAAAAGCCAAATTCCTAACTTCATGGAACTAACATTCTAAAGCCTATTAACGGACTGATGTTCAATTGAACTTGCTGTGTTTATGAAAATAGTCTATCATTGTCACCCGTGCTTTTGGGTAGTGTCACTGAGAAAGCCTAAACTTTTACTTTTTGTTCTCTCCCCCACCCTCCCAATAACAGTCCCAGGGCTTGAACTCAGGGCCTGGGCATTGTCCCTGAGCTTTTTTGCTCAAGGCTGGTGCTCTACCACTTAAGCCACAGTGCCTCTTCTGACTTTTTGGTAGTTTATTGCAGATAAGAGTCTAACTGACTTTTCTGCCTGGGCTGGCTTCGAACTTGGGATTCTCAGATCTCAGCCTCCTAGGTAGCCAGGATTACAGGCGTAAGCCACCAGTGCCCAAGCTAGTTTTTTTTTTTTTTTTTTTTAATTAAATCTGAACCACAAGCAAAGGGTCTTAGCCTATTGGGATACTAAAGGAGAAAGCAGAGGCTGCCATTAGAGAGGTGTTGGGTCCTGTCTGAATGGCAGCAAGGAAGTGGGGTCTGCAGAGAGAGTCGGGGCGGGGGAGGGGGAGCCCAGACCCTAGACCATGCTTTTTCAACTTGCCCCCGTCCCTGGCCTCAGATCATGACCCGCCCTTCGGCCGCCAACAAGAACTTCCCGTACCACGTGCGCACGTCGCAGATCGCCTCGGCCGGGATCCCCGGCCCCGGAGGAAGCCAGCCGTCGGACAAGGCCTTCCCGCAGCACGTCTACGGGAACGTGACGTTCATCAGCGACTCGGTGCCCAACTTCACGGAGCTCTTCTCCATCCCTCCGCCCGCCTCCTCCGTAAGCCCCGCGGCCCCGGCGCCCGAGGAGCTGCTGGCGCCGCCCCTGGAGTACCTGACCCCTGTCCCGGCCCCGCC